ACTTTCTACATCTAATATTTCTTGTGCTGTGACAAAAAAACATTTGTGTTTTGTTTTGTTTTTTGTTTTTTGCTTCTCCTTCCTGAATGTCACTTCATTGTTAGCGTTAGTGTCTGCCTGACTCGCCGTCTGCTCCCAGAGGCATTTGATGGCCGGTGGGTGTCGGGGCCCCAGGCTGTTTTTCTCTCTGTTTCTCCAACATGTCGTCTGACCAAAGTGGCTCCTGAGAGAGCGCTGGCCTCACAAACACGACCAGATATTGATTGAGTAATCTGTGTCATCCGATAGTAATATGTCTAACACGGGCCCCCCGCTGTGGAGCCGCGCAGCCTTCAGCGCTATCGGGGAAAAGAAGAAGCAATTCATGTTGAGAGGAAATCAAAGAGGTGTTGGTGGCTGATGGTTGTTATTGATTGTCTGTGTTTTCATGGCACTTCATCAACACTATTTACATGAATCACTTTGAATAGAAACAAGGTTCTCCGTCTTTTCCACCTGTTATCAGTCAGTCATGCTTCATTTTGGTCACATCTGAAAACTAAACTACATTTGCACTGCAAAAGATACAAATTCTTACCAAATATTTCTGGTGGTAATATTTTAGTACACTGCAAATAAGACAAAACTAGTTTACAAGTAACTTTTTCAGCAATATATATAAGCCTTTTTAAGTCAATAATAATGTATAAGTTCTAGTTTCACTGGAAGATTCACTTCTTATGCAATTCCAATTTAAATCTTGCTTCACAATCTGGACTTTCTCCCATTGACTTTGATTCCTCTAGCTAGCAATCACTTCTCGCCAAGAGTCCAGATCCTCTAGCAAAAAGCGTAGAATATGTCTACCAGGCTACAGTCTAGGCTTTTCTCCCATTGACTTGGATTCCCTCCAGCAGAATCTCTACCAACCAATCAACAAACAGGACATATGATGGTGTATTAGGGCCATTTTGTGCAGACAAAAAGGTGTGAATTTCCACCAAAAAACAGCAATATTCTAGGAAAGAGACATTTCAGAATTCCAAAAGTAAAAAGATGAGAGGAACGACTATGAAATTTTAGGTTAATTTTGGACATTTTGTAGAAAAAATATGAACTTCCACGTTTGACAAGTAAAAAAAAACTGTTAAAAATGATGATTCAGAAATGCTGAGATTGTCGTCCAAACTTTTCTAGAAAATTTTTCGAAGGTCGAAAATGTCCAGCTTTTCAAACTATAACCTTTTCATGTTTTTTCTCTAAATATCCAAAATTAATATCAAAATGTAAGTTTTTTCTTCTTTCTTTTTTTTTTTTTTTACAAACATTTGCACGTCATTTCTTTGTATCTAACAGTCCTACTCTACCTGGAGTACAATATCTGACTGTAACTTTGGAAGGTCCTAATATTTAAAAAAATTAAATAGAGTTGGGTAACTAGTTACATTTATTTGAGAAGCTTTTAGGAAAAAAACACTTTACAATGTTGTAGGCTACTTTATTTTCACTCGTGTAATTGTATTATGTCGTATTGCTACTCCTACTTTAGTAAAACTTCTGTGATAAAATTCACTGAACACTTGACGTTTTTGTTAACGTTTCATGAGTTTGAGGACTGCTGTTTACAGCGCACGTAACTTCCGGTTGGCTTGACGCCGGAACTGACGCTTTCCGCATACGTCACGGGCAAACGTTAGCGATTGGGAAACATTTAAATAAATAAATAAAATTTAAATAAATAAATATTTGATTAAATACATAAATAAATATGCATTTAAATAAATAAACATTTATAATGTCAACAGAGTGCATGTCTGTGGCTAGCTAGCTAGCTATCTCGCTAGCATTCTAGCTAGCTATCGCGCTAGCATTCTAGCTAGCAGTCGTTTCTCAATCTAAAGCTGCGCAGCTGAAAGTCAACCAGTGCCACCAGTTTGATTGCTGCTGGGAACACGCTGGGAGCAGCGGGTCGTGTGTGCGGCTATGCGCCTCTTCCCTCAGCTCCATCTCCAGGCCTCTCGTCCCTCCCTAACCCTTCCTGTGATCCGAGAGGAAAGCTTTCATTATTTACTGAGATTGGGATGTCAATCCCGGCGCCCCTGACCCAAGTTTGTATGTTTTCTTCCCCTCCATCATATTGGGGGAAATTATCTCCCCTCCTCTCCTTCCTCCAGGCTAGAAGAGTTTCTGCTTTTCCTTCAGAGATATTCCCACAGTGCAGCTCCTAATTCATCCTCTCACACAACATCATCATCAGATCAACTTCTGCTGTTTATTTCCCCACTAATGTGGAAGCATCTTCCTGAATTTAGTTTTCCTTTTGAACTCTGAAGGGCCAGAAACTGAGATCCGTTTGATTTAAAACTGTAATTAGTTGTTACATAATTAACACCGCAGGACGCATTTATCGCCTTTTCTCCAGCTAAATTCAAAGATTTGGTGCAATAAATCGGTTTGTTTTGCAACTTTTTGTGTGTCTGTGTGCATTGATGGCTTCAAAAGTTGCTCCACATGCCCTAAATGCATGCAGCAAAGCTGTGGCTTTGTGCATAAAATATATGTATATATTTTTTGTTTCTTATCCGACTAAGAACAGATTTAATAACCAGCATTAAAGCACATTTTGCGCACCAAACTGTAAAATTAGATCTTTTTTCATTTGTGGCTGAAGAAGAAGAAAATAGGCCGTGTGATTGTTGAGCATTTTAATTGATGTATTTTTCATCTTCCCTTGTGGATCTTTTTACTATAATAATAATAATAATAAAGATCTAATGCGGATCTGCCTCACTGGTTCACCAAAATTAAAAATAAGATCAGATCAGGCTTTGATTTGCTCTTAATTTCATCAGAAGGCTGTTGCTCGTGTTTTTGTTTCTCCTTTGAATTATTATTATTATTATTATTAGAGGTCCATTGGATTAGAATGAGCCACTGATCCTGAGAGAATAAGCCTTTTTTTCCTTCTTCTTCTCCTTTTTGTCTGTCGGGATCTTAACCACACTCCATCCGCACTTCATTAACCCTGAGCCGGGGACAATCCGCGCTCAGAGCCGGGGGATTTACCACCAGCTCCCCCTTTCACATGGAAATAAAAGGCAAATCTCCGCGTCATCAGGCAGGACGCGCCGGGCCCTGATTCCTGCGATAATCAGCTGCGCACTTTGCAAGTATTAACAGAAAACGCGCAGTCGTTATCCGAATCGGTCACGGATCCACATGATGGGGGTTTAATGATGTTCCGGCCAGTTGGGAGGTTTTTCCTCCCTCTTCATCCAGGTGGAATCTGAGCAGAGGGGCTTTGGGCTTCTTGTCGCGTCCTCACCTGGTGCGTCAGGTATCATCGCTGCTTCCGGTGTAAATAAAGAAGTCGCCATCATAAAGGAAGCCTTAGAAATAATCAAACTGGTTTAATAGACGTCAATAAAATGAACGAAACGAGGCGCCTCCATCAAGAATTTATAACAGAATAGTTTCTTTTAAAAATAAATGTAAATAACAGGATCAGAGTCTGATTTTACCTGATTAAAATGTCACTTTTGGACCAAAACAAGCAAAAACTTTTTTGTTTTTAAATATGTAAAAATAAAAATGTAAAATAATTTGTTTATGTTTAATTTCGAAAGAATAATAAACATATACTTTTTAATTTACTTTAAAAAGTAAATAAAAATATCTGCGCCCTCTACAAAGTGACTGAACTCTTTAATCTCTAATCATCCAATGGGAAAATAATATCAATAATTGGTCATTTTGTTTAAAGTGCTTTAATAGGAATAAAGCAGAAAGATATAAAATAATCTATGATGAACACTTTAATTGTTTTGTTTCGTCTTATTATATTTTTTGAGTTTGTGGGTTTGGATTGTTTATCGATCCTGATTGGTCCACGATTTGGTCACTATTGATTCTATCGGACCTCCTTTGTACAGTAAACCCATTATAAACATGTCTGCTGCTTCTCCATCTTTATGTTGGGAACTTCTGTTTACTGTAAGCAAGAAGCGCCATGCGTGACCCAGACTCGCCAGAACCTGGCGCAGTCCGCTGCGTCTTTAATGCAATTTTCCGCCTGATAAAAGCGCAAGTTCTCCAGCCGTCAGTTTGATGTTTCAGGGCCGGATCAGCCGGCGGGAGGAGGAGCGGGGCCCCCAGATAACAGGTGCCATGCGCGGCTGACAGCAGGGGGAGCTGGCTATCAAACCCATTATCGACTTTCAATTAAAACCCATTAAAGTCTTTTGTCTCGTCGTTAACATCCTGCTCGCCGTCAGCCTGAACTCCTTTAACCCCTGACGCGCCGCGGAGGGATCGTGTGGGTGCGCGCAGGCTTGGACCGGGGGGTTCGGGCCGCCGCTGACCAGCTGTCCCGGCTCGGATCCGCGGGCTGCCGGCAGCTCCAGCCCGGTCACCAGCTGTTGGAGCCGCTTGGCACCGCAGCGCGCATCCCGCACCCTCTCAACGAGGAACTCCACGCGGATGGAAACGATCAATTTTCCAAAAATGGGGATCATTTAAAGGCACTTAAACAATCGCGATGGACGGCATGAATATTTCATGCTGCATTGTTTGGAGATGCAGGGCGCCATCTTCGAGAAAAGACACCAAATTGTGCAAAAGTCACGCAGATTTTTGTTGCTCGGTTTCACATAAATCCAGATTTTGCGCTCGGAAGAATTTAAACAAATGTTCATGATCAACAATAAACATATTGATCCTAAATCCACATGTTGATCCCCACAGAACTCCAAAGGCGTTTCACTGCATTAAATGAAAGACATCTTTTTTTTATTTCCACATTTATAAAAGTAATTCTCTTTTACATCAAATTCCCCCTTTTCTTTTGTTTTTTTTTTTTTGTTTTGTTTTTTTTCTTTTTGAATCAGTCCAACCTTTGCTGTGAACTTCACAAAAAAAAAAAATCAAAATTAAACTTCACCACTTTTTCGGGAGGAAAAAAAAGTCTTTCAAGAAACTAAAATGTAAAAAAAAAAAAAAAAAAAAAAGATGAAACAAATCGAATAAAATCCAGGAAATGTAATTATACCTAAATCACTCCACAAGGTTGATATCTGCAATATACATGTTCACCAATATAAAGGAGAGTCGGAACAGTACGGAGTTATTATCACAGCTTCATATGAAATAACAGAAATGATGCACAACGTCAACAAATCCACCTGAGCTCGGGGGGCCCAAGCCTGATTAATCGATTATCGATAAAAATACAAAAAACCGAGGCCTCGCCGAGGAGAAACATTAAAATCTGTTGAGGGGCTAAAACCGCGTTTTAGATATAAATAATTTGCAATATTTCAGTCAGCAAGAGCCCAGGTCTGTGGATCCAAACATCCAGTCCGTCCGTATATTTATTATCAGTTCGGTTCCAACTGGACCGAGCAGCGAACAGTCGAACAAAAACACTCCTCTTATTTCTTATTTACACGACTCGGAGGAATGAAAGACTAAAAAATATTGTTCCTTTGGATGATACAACTACTTTTTATTCAGACATGAACGTTTGATCATTTGACCTGTAAATAATAATAATAATAATAATAATAATAATAATAATAATAATAATAATAATAATAATAATAATAATAATAATTGGCTGGAGGTCGAATACTGAAACTGGGTGTAAATAAATACTTAACTTAAAGGCTTTACTGCCTTCTGGAAAAATAAATAAATTATAAATAAAGCTTCTGTCTCACGAAGACAAACAAAAACAACAACAAAAAGTCCGTTTCGAGTCTCTCCGGCTCGGTTCCGTCCAGTTCTGTCCCGTAAAGGGCCTGACTGTTCATCGTTCTCTCTTTATTTTGTCCTGTTCGCTCAAAGTGGGTCCAGGTTGTGCTATAAAAACTCAGCAGGGGGTCCGGCTCACCGCCCGGCTCACCGCTGCTGCGCAGGCCGGGGAAGCACTCCGGACATGGGGGGCAGCGGGGGCGGCGGCGGCGGCGGCGGCTCGCCGCCTCCCTGCAGCCCGTGCAGGAGGATCCGCGGGACCAGCGGTCTCTGTAGGGCCGGCGGGGGCGCCGAGGGGCCCCTGTACAGGTACAGGGCCGCCCCGGGGTCCAGGTTGGACACCAGGCTCTGCGGGTAGAAATACGGGGACGGGAACATCCTCTGCAGGGCGGAGTAGTTCCCGGCTTCCGCCAGCAGCTCCAGCCCGACCGCGGTCTGCCGCTTCCACTTTGTCCTGCAGAGAAATAAAAACAGGCTGTTTTTAGATTCCTGCAGCCGGCAGCGATTGTGTTTGACACGCCAAAATATCTCCCATCTGTTAACCTGGGATCCAATTAGAAGCAGGGAATGTTTTCCTCTCTTTACCCCCCGCTCCGGTTTTAAAATCACCCAAATCTCCAGCCTGCCACTTTGTGTTCACACCCAAACACGCCTTTCAGATCGCCAGGTGAATAATTCATAATAAAGATAATTGAGTAGATATAGAAGTTTGTTTGAATTATTAATATGCACACATGCAACGTTGCATTATTCATAAGAAACTCCGACTCAAATTGTGTTTTTTTTCTTATATTTATTTATGTCATTTAGCTGCATGAGAGTTAGAAATAAAAGGAAAGATGGATAAATGAGCAGGCGCAGTCAGGTGACCTGCATGGTTTCTGCTTTAAATGATGGAAATAAATTAGAAGTAATTTCCTGAGCAATCAACTGTAAAATAAAATTTAAAAAAAATTTAAAGGAACTATTCATTCTATAAATGAAGCAAAATTTCACTGGAAAATGTTGAAAAAAATTGACAGTGAGTGAAAAAAGAAAAAACTGTTTTTATTTTTATATGTGGCTAGAAATTAATCAGGACTGATCAAATGGGCTAAAATCAAGTCATATATACCAAATAAAAAATGTTTCTGACTGACCTATAAATCTATTGACAGTGGCGCCAAAAGTGGGTGCGACTCGTCGGGGGCGCCAAATGATGGCGGACTAATTATTTTTAGTCGTCATTTTTTGTATTTGACAGCTGTTTGTGCATTGAAACCCCCCAGGGGGGCCTGTAATGTGTCTGCATGCCCCTCCGAAAGTACTTAGCTGCCTCCCTGCCCATGGACGACAAAGTGAATATGGGCCCCATATGGGCGTTAGCTCAGGCTGGATGGGTTCTAAGTGATCCTGCGCACGCAAAGGGGATCCACTTGGCTTAAATGAATAGTTGGGGACCCAATGCAGGATTTCAGTGGGTCTCAATTAAAAGAATCTGTTCTAATTGGATAACACACCCAGGACCGGATGGGCCCCACAAATTGCCCAGAAATGACCAACATCAAGATGATATAGGGAGTTAATGTGGGGAGATTAATGAAAACAGAAGCAATCACTCCTGGACTTTTATTGTTCATCCATTCCCTTATGGGTCCCGTAAGTAAATGTAAAACGTTCATGAGCACCAATTCATTTGGGAACTGATGACAAGCAGAGGTTTTTATGGTTTAGGATTGTCTGAGCTGGAAAAGGTTGTCTTAAAGTCATTAAAAAAACACAAAATGATCTTAAAAACTAGAAGCAAATTAAATTAAATATACAAAATTAATTTCAGGGTGACAACAGAAGGCCATTTAACATTTAAATTGATTAAAATGTTGAAGCGAAAAAGACGTCATGCAGATTCTCCTCAGCACTGACTGGGCCTGAAATCAGGCTGGGCTTTTAATGAGACCCATTGGGTTGACTGAATGCAACACATATTGGCGAAACCAAATGGGTCCCACTCTCATCCATATGGGTTCCTCTTTATGATCTAAATCAGACCAGTGGTTAGCATGAAGCCACCCAGCTTCTGGGAGCCATTAATGGGCTCCATCTGCTCTGTCAATGTTGGTTGACTATTAATATCTAAATCAGAAAAGCTGCAACAAAGTTGGCCCTTTGTTTCCTGACCTTGTGACCTTTGCTGCATGTCCTCCCTTTTCTCTCCACCCACTTCCTGTCTGACTGCTGTCAATAAAAACCACTGGAGCTACAAAATAACATAAATCCAGTCTTTGGCTTTTATTGAATCACCAGGAGATCCAACCAACATGAAGAAGTGATTATCAAAAACTGAAATTAGACATTAATCAACATGTTGTTCCTTAAGTCAATTATTCCCCAAATGCAAAAGAAAACTTTCCATCAAAACCATGTGGAAACCATGAAGTGGAGACACCTACTTTTAATTTTTGATGCGTTTTTTCTGGCCTAAATAAGGAAAATAATTGTTTCAGATCAGCAGTTTGTTATTAAGCTGTAAATAGGTGGTTGAGAAAAACTGGAAAAACACAAAAATAATTGGTCTCTTTTCTCCGAATTAATGTTTTCCTCTTTTTCTATGTTAAACAAATGTTGAAAAAGACAAAAATAAATCAGAATAAAATTGTACTATATGTGTTGGACCTGCTTTAACGGCGACAGCCGGACTGGAGTTCAACATCGAACGTCTGGGACGGATATTAAGAGAATATTTTCAAATTGTGGGAAACATCTGGGTTCTACTTTTCAACCCAAGTTGACTTTGATCAAACTGGATCTGGACCCAAGCTTCCAAGGCACCAAACATGGGCCCCATGCGGCGCTGACTGGTCATTAAACAAACTCAACGTGTTTCAGGTTGAACTGAAACGAAACACACGAGGTTTTAGGGAAAAGCATAAACTTCTCAGGTTTTGTTTAGTTTGTCATTGGGTCGCATTATACAACCAATAAAATAAAATAAAAATTGAAGAAGCTTTTTGATTCTTCTTTCATTAGAATAAAATAAAACACATTTCCATTCATGTTGATGGAGATTCGTCTGAATGTGGCTTAAAATATATTTAAAAAGTCCAACCAAAGTGTCTGGAAAAGTCCAGATTTTATATATTTAATTGGCTGATGGAATAAAAACAGGAAGTGTTTACAGGTTCAGAGATTGAAATTAAATGCAGCTTTCATTATTTTAAATATGAACGAGTCAGTCTCTGCTGTGGAAGTGAACGTTCTCCTCAGTGGGGAACCAGATTCTCTCCTCCCTCCTCGAACCCGTCCCAGTCAAAGCCCGGCGCCGGTTCGGCCCTCACCTCCGGTTCTGGTACCAGGTCTTGACCTGCGTGTCGGTGAGGTTGAGGGAGGCCGCCAGCTCCATCCGGTCCTGGACGCTCAGGTACTTTTGGCGCTCGAAGCTGCGCTCCAGCTGCGCCAGCTGGTGGTCCGTGAAGGCCGTGCGGGCCTTGCGGGGCTTCTTGAGCCGGACCTGCGGGCTGTCCCTGCTGCTGGAGATCTCCCGGTCCCCCTCCTCTTTCACTGCCGGTCCAAAACAACCAGCACGGATGTCGAGGGGAAGAAGACGGAGGGAAATTATTGCCTCATGCTCATTTTTAAAGCTCTTAAACAAAAATAGATTTTAAATTGGATTTAAAGAAAGAAAATGTCATTGATTAATCTGAAATTTTCTGCATTTCAGAGAGCACAAATGATAAAGTCTTCCAAATAGTTTTTATTGACAAAATAAATATTTTACGCTGAGAAATAAAGGCGTTTTAATAAACAATATTAGTTTAATTTGCGCGTTTGGTGCCTTAAAATGACAGCCGCTGAGAAATGAAGGAATATAACTGATGTTATATTTTTTTTATTTTTTTGCTTAAAACGCGATTCCAGCTTCAAATATCTTCCAAAATGTCACTTTTACTGCTTGCGAATTACAGAAGCGCTCGTGTTCAGAGTGAAGAATTGACCTTAAAGTTTCTCCAAAACGCGGTTTTGCGCGCGCAGAGCGGCTTTCCCCGCTGCGGGGCTGTTTGATTTCTGTCCCTAAGTTGTTACGAGAAGCTCTTTCAATATTCATATTCCAGATCTGATGTTTTCCCCGTCAGCAGAGCCGCGGAGTCTTTGTTCTCTCCACGCGTGGCGCGCAAAGAAATCACACACATGAGTTCTTGTAATCCATTCCGAAGGAGGGAAACGCGAACAGAGGCGAGAGATCTGGAGGCATCACAGGAAGCAGCGCGATAATAATCCCCCTAATTGAGCCACGAGGGGACGCGGCTGCAGCCGCTTCCACGCGCGGCCGGAAAGGGGAAGAAACCACGAGCCGCGCGCGCTCACACTTCTGATTAAAGCGCCGAAATGGGACAAATTGGATCAAATCCGGGCGGCCAGATCAAAGTGAAGGTGCGCGTGGCTGCTTTTATTATTATTTTTAATCAATCAGTTATTGGAATAAATCAATCAATCGATCAGGAGCTGAAAAAAAGAGCGATTAAGTTAAAATGTTCGAATAAAAATGTTAATTATATGAAATATGGTTGAAGTGAAACGAGTTGCTTTGTTTCATTGTTGCAGGATTATAAACACAAAGACACTTGAATCCGCCGCCAACAAACTCAACAAACCTGCAAATTAAATTAAAATTAATAAACGGGCGGAATTCAAATGAAGGGATTATTATTTTTTAAGCGATGACATTAGAAATTTTGCGGTTTTTCTAAAGCATTTAATTCAATTTAGTTGATTCTTTTCGCTTTATTGCACCGCCTCGTTTTAATTTTACATGAAAAATTGAGTTTAGATGGAAAAATCTAAAATATTAAACATGAATAATTCAGTTAATTGCTAAATAATATATATATATATAACTGCGAATTAGAAGATTTTGATCTTTTCTAGATGGAGCATCAGTAACAGCATGTATCCGGATGCAGAAAGTTGTTTCTGTTTTCTCTGTTTCCTAAATAAAAAGTTGAAAGAAACAAAAGAAGGGAATATTTGCGGAAACGGGAGAAGTTTCTACCTTTGTACTCGCTGTCCGATGAGGAGTTGCTGTGGATCTTCTCGATGAAATCGTCCGCTATCTTGGCGGCCAGCCGCCCGGCCTCCTGCGTCGGCTGCCCGTTGCTGGAGTAGGGCGCGCAGGCGGCCAGCGGCTTGCAGTCCGCCAGGATGTCCCTGATGAGGAAGGAGGAGGTGACGGTCCGCTGCTGCGCGCCCGCAGAGATCTGTGCGGCGTGCTGCAGGTGCGGCGGCAGCCCCGCGCTGTGCACCTGCCTCTGCGCCGCCTCCTCCGCGCACTCCCTGCGGGGCGACGGAGGCGACGAGCAGCCGCTCTCCACGTCCGATCTGGGGCTGAACTCCAGCGGCGAGCGGCACTCCGGCAGCAGGCCGTCCGCCTTGGACAGCGGGCTCCCCGGCCGGTGGGACAGCAGCGAGTCGATGCCGAAACTGGACCCGTTGGTGGTCGCCTCCATTGTTCCGATGAGGCCTTTTTTTTTTTTTTTCTTAATCTCTGTTTCAAACGACCATTTGGTTTCAGGCGCAAGTTTTACTCTGAGGAAGCTGGATTATGTTCTCCGGAAAACGCGCCGCCGCCGCTTGTTCTGATGCGCGTCGCCTCCAGTCCTCCTGCCGGGTCGGTCGGCGGAAATAGTTCCAGATCAACATTCAAATGAAAACAGTTCGCTTATCCGAGTTTCTTGTGGTCGGAGATCAATAACGCAGCTGGCGCGGCGATCGATTGGGCTCGAGGAAGAGGAAAGGTTCCGGTTTTCAGCACCATGGACAGGAGCCGAACTCCCGCCGGACGCCGTGCAGCGGCATTCCCGTGCGCAGCTAAAGCGGGTTTTAAAAACGGGCTTTAAGGAGCTGGGAGCGACAGGAGAGTCCGTGGAAAGAAAGGAGGGAAGGAAGGAAGGAGGGAAGGAAGGAAGGAAGACCAGAAGGAAGGAGGAAAGGAGGAAGAGGAAGGAGAGATAAAGTGGGTTAAATAGCGACAACTGGGGAAGTAAAAGCGACTTGATGCGGCTGCGGTGGGAGGGAATCCCAAAAAATTGAACTTGAGGAAAAGTCAGGAGCGAGGTTTTAAGAGCGCCTCGTCCACGTGAGTCCCCTGTGACAAGCGTGGATTGGCTGAGGGGAGCCGGAGTGGACCTCCCCTCCCTCCCTCCTTCCTCCCTCCTTCCTCCCTCCTCATCCTCGCTTTGATAGGAGACAGTGGATTCATCAGGAGCCTCAGATCCAACTGTTTACAGGCAATTTTCACACTGTTTGCTTTCATTACATCATTGATGAGGCTCATAATGGGGTTATTATGAGCAGCGGCTCGCTGGTTTCTCCTCCACGCTCTTCTTCCTCCACATCATCATCATCAACTTCTTCTTCTTCTTTTTCTGTGTTTTACATTTTGACATTCACCATCCGCTGAGTTTTATTCTGCTGTTAAAAACATTTTATTTATGTTGAATCCAGCTCAGATTTATTTCTTATTTTCATTTTAGTGAAGTCATTATATTTATTTTATTTTATTACATTTTTGTAATATAAATAGAAACAAACTCCTTTAAAGAGTTGCATTTATTTGTTAAAAATAAATGTTTGCAGATAATAATAGTTACTAAAAACAAAAACAGATGTAATTTTTTTACATATATTTATTTGCACCATTACGACTTTTAATTAATTAATTTATTTGTTTATTTATTTAAACATTTAATCTTTTATTGCAGTTTTATTTGCTGTAATTTGAAGCTTGTAGAATAAAGAATTAAATCCAAAATTAAAACAAAAACTTTTACTTGTGGATTAAAGCTAAAAATATTTTTATTTTTTATGATTTATAAAAAATAAACAAGGAACAAAATGTTTTATTTGCTATATTGATTTATTTCTATTGCATTTTATTTATATTTGAGTCATTTTATTCCCCTTTAACTTGCGTCCAAAAGCAACTTTGTTGTATTTTTCTTTATTTTTTCTCATATTTGAATCCAGTCAGTTCGATTTCATGTCCAGATATTTAACTTTTACAGGAAGTTGATTTTCTTTTTCTTTTTAGCTGAATGCTGATAGTTGGAAAATAACTTTCTAATAGTCCTTGGAAATCGCGAACAAAAAAATTCAAAAACTCCACTGCGCCATTTCTTTTGCACAATTGTTCCCCCTTAACATGCGTTAAATGCCATTGTGAGCACTTTGCACATCCAGCGCCACAGTTTGCCCCGCGCCTTGGCCTCGACAGCCCCTAATAATCTAACCACCCCCCAAGATACCCCACCATCATCAGCAACACAAACACACCTCCTCCTCCTCCTCCTCCTCCTCCTCCTCCTCCTCCTCCTCCTCCTCCTCCTCCTCCTCCTCCTCCTCCTCCCCATGTGACCACCAGATTGGAGGCGCGTCGGCCTCAGACACCGGCAGGTTAGTGAATCCGCTCCCCGCTCCCATGGGGTCCCATCACGGCTGCAAGCTGTCACACGCGAGGCGGGGACAGCACAGATATGAGGCTGCACACACCCACCCTGACGTGGCTGTTTCTTTCTCCTCTGCTGGGGCAGAAAAAAGGCGCAGTGGTTTGATGCTTCCTCTCACTGGTTTTTTTTGGGGTTTTTTGTCTTCCTCTTTTCATCCTCTCTGTCCTGCAGCTCCAGTTAAAGTTCTGCTGAATTAATCATAAGGCGGTTCAACCGACTTCTTCTTCTTCTTCCTCTTTGTGATCATCAAACTTCCTGGAGATTCCCTAATTGGATTTTATTTTAGTTTTAAACCTGCAATACACAGATTTTATCAAATTAATTAACTGATTTTCTTTATCATAAATAGTTTTAAACACATATAACAACTATTATGATTTAAAAAAATATTTTTGGACTAGAGACCCTCAAAGATATTTTTTGATAGGCCATATATATATATGTGTGTGTGTGTGTGTGTTTTAGAGGCTTTTTGGTCATTTTCAGTGAAGAAATCATCTTGATTTGAGTTCACATAGTGAAACCTCATCATTGCTTTGATTTGAGAGTAAAAATATTCTCATATAAAACAACACAAGGTTGTTAAAAACAGTTTCATTTTTTCCATAATTCTGTTTAGTTGAATTTTATCTTGAGATAAAATCTCCAACAGCATCGCTGGATGGTTTTTATTTTGATTATTTTTTAATTTTGTGATAATGAAAAGCAGCTTTATTGTCTCATGTAAACACAAAAATCATGTTTTTTATGATCTCGAGAAAACAAGGTTTCAAGCCTAAAACATTCAAATTGTCTCATTTTGTGCATTTTTTTTCATCTCATTATCCCGACATAAATATTACTTTAAGCAGATTTTGTCACATAAACTGTTGCAGTACAACATAATGAAGTTAAATATAATTAAAAAAATAAAGTTTTATTATGTTATAAAATGACAACAAGATCATTTTAATAGCATCATTTTGAGATAATCCTGGATTTCAGCTCCATTATCTCTTTATTTTGTTACTAAAATCTCTTTATTTGAGATTACAATATGTCAGTGTGGTAATGGTAATTAATATTTTATCATATTATGTCATATTTCTCATATTTGTCTCATTTGGATTGATTTCAATCACAATCTCATGTTTTGTGGTAACAATTAAACTCTTTAGTTTGAAAGATAATCTTTCGTTCAGTTTTTCCCAAAGTGATTCATCTGTCATAATGTAGAGATAATATGAGGTTTTTTTTTTTTATCAGGTCGAGAAAATATTTTTTATGTCATTTTGTGATCATTAAACGTCTAAGGAAACATTTTATTTACGATAATATTGGAATAATCAGCCAAAGTTCTTAAAAAATTTAAAATTACTATTGGAAGTAAAAGTTTGGTTTATTTGTCTTATATTAGTCAGACTGACAATTTGATATACTTTGGAAACACAAACATGTTTCTGAACTTAATAGATTTTTTCCATATTTCTGCAGACGTAGAAGAAGATAAAAGCTCATTTTCCTCCTTTAATGACATGTAAATATGATCTTATTGAAAATGTTGCTTCAGTTTGTAATTCTGGTTCTAACACTCAAAACCAAGAAGAAGAAAAAAATGCAGAAAATTGACAAATTAAACGCTGTAATCAAAATAAAACATTGCAATTTGTATATTTTTTAGGTCCCGTGTGAGAAAAATGTGTTGTTTGAAAATCAATTTAAAATTATATGCTTCTGGAAAACTTTACAAATCCCCTGGATTGTGGGTTTATTTGTAGTAGCAGCAGCCAAACCTGTAGCGGTGGAAGTGTGTGTGAGGGGGCGGATGTGTGTGAGTTTTGTTTGTGTGTAATGATTTGGCTCAGACTGCTGCTGCTTTTAAACAAGAGTCCCTCTTGTCAAGTGAAGCCCAATTTTTACTTATTTATTTATTTCTTCTTCTTCCAGGAAGTGTTTTCAGAGTTAGTTCACACTCAGCGCCAAACACACACACACACACACACACACACACACACACACACACACACACGCACACACACACACACACACACACACACACACACACACACACACACACACACACACACACTGTTATTGATCCCCGTTAAAGACAGGAAACTGGGATACTTTCAGGCAATGAGTGGACCGGAGTCCCTCCAAGCTTCTGCACATCAACTCAACCTTCAACTCGTTTTGGGACAAACTGGCTCCCACTTTCAGTTTCTCACCATAAATATTCACATTTTCTCACATTACGACCAACAAACATGGATCACACTTCAAAAACCGTTTGAAAATGTGAAAACAAATGAATTTGTGTTCAGCCAACTTTACTCCGCTTTGCTAAGTGTGTAAGTGCGTCTGAGTATGAGTATGAGTATGAGCAAGCTGTAAACGTGCAAAAACACGCGTCCAACAAAACTAACCGCAGGGGAGCGTTGATCAGAAAACGAAAAGAATCTGTCAACATCAAAACTGTGAGGTTTATGGAAAAGCAACTGGTGAAATAATTCAGTGTCTCAACTTTGTTTTATTGTCTTTAATAGGAATTTGAATATTCTTTATTTATGTCTGTATTAGTTTGGTTTTGTATATTTTTTTAAGGGAAAAATAAATAAATATTGAACAAAATTAACCAGAAGAGATGATGAGCATGTGGAAGTCGGTGAAAGGAGGCCAAAATTTGATGATTTGTCCTTTATGACTGTGAAAAAACAGCGTTAATCATCATCTCTGCCATGAAACACGGTGGTGGCACAATCATGCTGTGGGTTTATTTTGTAGCAGAGCTCTTGAAGGAAAACTTGTCACAGGATTTTTCTGTTCGAAGTGGCAAAAACCTGTAAACATACACCCAGAGCTACAGGTGAGTCATTCTGGCCTAGTCAAAGTACAGATCAAGATCAAATTAAAAGCGAACATAAAAAAAATAAAAAATTCAAACATACCATCCTGTCAAACAAACTAAGCTTAAACTAAAGTTTGTAGTTGTAACATGACAAAATGTGGAAACTAATTCCACAAAATCCAACAATTTAATCAAAAATTTTAAATATTGTAAACATTTCGATTCCCTTTCAAAGGGAGAAAATCATAGAAACTGGAAAGGGGAGCGCGTTTCATATCACTGACCAGTGGCGCAGCAAAAGAATAAAACATTTCAACATCGGGCGCCGCGCTACAGGGGGCGCCAGAAGTGGGGCAAAAATAATTTCTAGTCAGCATTTTCTATCTTCATCAGCTGTTTTACGGATGAGATCTATAACAGAAACTGACCTGTCGGTGCCAATAATCTGTCTGCATTCCTGCGCTTTGAGTGGGAATGCAGACAGGTAATAAATCCTGCTGCTCCAAAAAACAAAGCAACAAAAAACCCCACAAAGCTACGTTTTTATTTACGTGCGTCACCAGCAGACGTGTTAAACGCGCATCTGTGTATGTTTGGTAAAAATCTGTGTTGCCTTTGAATAAACTTTGGCATCTCTATCGTTTTTGCACGGAGAAAAATCGTGTCTAACGTGTAAAAAGAAAGAAAAAAAAAACACAAAAAGGAAACGATGACTCCTCACAACAAACAAACAGCATTGAAAAACATGGAGGGAGAGGATGGTGGCGCTGGAGCCGCACCTCGGACCAGTCAGGGATGCAAATGATGCACCTGA